CTGCCTTAGCTTGGGCTCCGACGGCACCGTTTGACTCGTCTGCCACCGTGCAAAATCACAATGAAGAAAACAATGGTTAAATAAACTAAAAAAATACTTCAGATCGTGTATTAGAACTAATTCATGTCTTATTTTACGTATTAGAACTAATTTTCATGTATTAGAACTAATTCATGTATTATTTTAAAGGACAAATAATTTGTGTTAGTTCTAATTCAGTTCGTAATAGTTCTAATTTATGTATTAGAACTAAACATGAACTGTGTTAGTTCTAACTCGCTTCATGTTAGTTCTAATTCATGTATTAGAACTAAACACGAACTGTGTTAGTTCTAACTCGGTTCATGTTAGTTCTAATTTGTATATTAGAACTAAACACGAACTGTGTTAGTTCTAACTCAGTTCATATTAGTTCTAACTCAATTCGTGTTAATTCTAACTCAATTCGTGTTAGTCTTAATACGAACTGAGTTAGAACTAACACAGTTCGTGTTTAGTTCTAATACATGAATTAGAACTAACATGAACCGAGTTAGAACTAACATATATAGTTCGTGTGTAGTTCTAATACATGAATTAGAACTAACATGAACCGAGTTAGAACTAACACAGTTCTTATTTAGTTCTAATACATGAATTAGAACTATTACGAACTGAGTTAGAACTAACACAAATTATTTATCCTTTAAAATAATACATGAATTAGTTAGGATTAACATGAGCTAGAACTAACACGAACTGAGTTAGAACTAACACGAACCGAGTTAGAATTAACACGAACTGAGTTAGAATTAACATGAACAGAGTTAGAACTAACACGAACTGAGTTATAACTAACACGAATCAAGTTAGAACTAACACAGTTCATGTTTAGTTCTAATATATGAATTAGAGCTAACATGAACCGAGTTAGTTCTAACTCAGTTCGTGTTTAGTTCTAATAAATGAATTAGAACTATTACGAACTGAGTTAGAACTAACACAAATTATTTGTCCTTTAAAATAATACATGAATTAGTTACAATTAACATGAGTTAGAACAAATACGAACCGAGTTAGAACTAACACAAATTAGAACTAACATGAACTAAGTTAGAACTAACACAAATTATAACTAACGTGAAATGAGTTAGAACTAACATGAATTGAGTTAGAACTAACACGAATTGAGTTAGAACTAACACAGTTCATGTTTAGTTCTAATACATGAATTAGAAGTAATACGAACTGAGTTAGAACTAACATGAACTGAGTTAGAACTAACACAAATTAGAATTAACATGAACTGAGTTAGAATTAACATGAATTGAGTTAGAACTAACACAGTTCATGTTTAGTTCTAATACATGAATTAGAAGTAATACGAACTGAGTTAGAACTAACATGAACTGAGTTAGAACTAACACAAATTAGAATTAACATGAACTGAGTTAGAATTAACATGAACTGAGTTAGAACTAACACAGTCCTAATAAGAATTTTCACTAAATAATAATAATAACAACAAATAATACACAAAACACCACCACTCTTAGCTCATCACTCTTGTAAGTCACAATGTCTACAAATGATCAACAATAACCAAGGGGAAAAAAGGAACTCAATCACAATAGTAATAATAGCAATAATAATGTCACAACAATAATAATAGTAATAAACTAGAAACCATATCTAAAATCAATATAACTAAAAGGCGTAGATTGCGGTGGCGACGACGAACGCAACGAGGGCCCACCCGCTAACGGATCAGACTCCAGGGGCGCTGGAGCTATCAGAGGGGGTTCCAGAGGGAGGCGAGCCCGCGGGGGGCGGAGGCGGCGACGGCGAGGAGGGCGAGGGCCAGGGCGACGAGAGACGAGCTTGAGAAAGCCATTGGTTTGAGAGAGAGAGAGAGAGAGAGAGAGAGAGCAGATGAGAGAGAGAGAGAGAGAGAGAGAGAGAGAGAGAGAGAGAGCGCGCTAGGGTTTGAGGGATTGAGGAAAGGGGATAATGACAGTTTTGGATTTTTCACTTTTTACTATCTCTCTATGCTTAGTTGGCATGTAATAATTGCTAAAAGAGAACTGTAGCACAAGATGTCACACTTCAAAGGGTTGAACCACATAAGGGCAAAGTGAAAACGCTGCAGTACATGAAGATAGTGCTTTTGGAGCATTGACACATTTTCCCCTAACATTAAATATAGTTATAATTAATTAGTAATTATAATATAATATATTATAGTTTAGTATAAAGTAAAATAATGTATTATATTATAATAACATACCAAATAATATGCTAAACCAATTAGGTAAATTAATTCAAACTTAATTGATAGATAAATATTGTATTCTAATAAGGTGTCACATCATCAATTATCCCACATGAATTGTCAAATCAAAATTTTAAATTGTCCCATTATCCTAAATTGTCACACTTTACACCACTCAAAATATCCCAAATAGATAAAATTGTTCTATTGAAATAATTATCCCACTTAGCCCAACTTGTCCCAACCAGTAACTCCCCTAAGTTAAAAAATCCATTTATTGATAACAATCCGTAAATTTAAATGCCGTATAGAAAAAAAAAACTTTGAGAAGGAAACTCTGTAATTTTAATGTTAATGGGAATAAATTAATAAGTAAATAGAATTAGATAATTAATAATAGAAAATCACGCATTTTCTATTTAATACGTTCTTTAAACAGCAAAATTGAGTTAGAAGTTTATCGATATTTTAATTTTACTCGCATGCATTTGCATGTGCCAACAAGATGTACAATAGACGATTGATATTAATATTTATCATGAAAAATATTTTTTATTTGGACAAAATTTTAAAACCATTCTATTTGAGAAAATAATTACGAAAAACGACCTATTTTTTATTTATTTGTCAAAATCAACCCAGTTTCAGCCAGTTAGTTAAAATTAAGTCGATTTTGACAAAAAAAACTAATGAAACTTTACGGGACTTGAAGTCCCGTGAAGCACGATTTAAGCTCAGTGTGTTAGCCTCGCTAAGCTTCATGAGACTTGAAGTCCCGTAAAATTTGTTATCCTTCCTTTTCCTTCACTAAAATATCGAGACATCCTACCTCCAATTCGTTCCACCTTTGAACTCACCAAACCTCCAGCTCTACCAGCGGTGGCAACAGAAATGCTCCTTGTTGCCATTATTTAGTTGAAATAATGATCATCTGAATATACAATGCTATCATAGTCTGAAGTACTGTGAAAGCATGAGGATAAGGATGAGATTACTCTATGGGACAAACTAGAACCTCCACTTGCTTTTTAGAACTTAGTAAGCGTGGGAGCTTCACCTCCGTTCTAAGAATATTTTTATTACTAATTAATTAATTTATCATGAACGCATTGTTTGTTTGTTTGTTTGTTTCTACCAATTTATATATATGGG